TTCTAAGCGTGTGAAGTGTCGGAGGAGATTTTGGGTCACACCAACTAGTGCGTTCATCTTGATGGACTCGCTATGGGGAGTGTTGGCACTGCTATTCTGCATGGTCAGTGTTCCTGGTGCGTGGAGTGTGGTAGATCCTAAAACTGGTAAGTTTGTGATGCTTTAGTTTTCGAGAGGTTTTTATTGTTGTGTCCATTCCTTTCCGGCTCCCCGATCCAATATCACACATAGGATGTTGGTCTGTCCTTACGAGTCTATTAGACTTCTTCCATCCGCCGTGAAGTCCTCGGAGGCACCAACGCTGTGAGTTGTTTCAAATTGGCTCAGACTTCCTGCACCTCGACTGTGGCGCCTCAAAAGAGTACACAGATAAGCATGGCATAACATGGCATCCAGATGATGCTTTCGTATCAACTGGAAAAATCGCGCGCAATCTACCCAACACCGACTGGCCAGAGGAAAAGGCTCTTCGCTACTTCAAAGGAGAATCCCGTACCAAGAATTGCTTCACACTTCCAGTAAAACCCAGAAGTATTTATATTATGAGACTTGGATTCTATCATGGAGGCTACGACAAATCCATGTCCCCACCTAGCTTTCAATTAGGCTTGGATTCCACAATTTTCGAGACTGTCTCAATTCTAGATGTGTCTGATAGGTTCATACATGAGGTGACATTTCAGACTGCGGCTACGAACGAAACATCGCTTTGCCTTGTGCAGGATCCAAGTGATAGTACCCCCTTCATCTCTAATATTGCACTCCGTGCTATTGAGAAATCGATGGTATCTGAGTTTATAACTGGTTGGTTGGATACTAACCAGATAGTGACCACCCAGACCCGTTTCTATCTTGGCGGCTCACAAATTAACAAAAATATCATAAAGTAAGTTTCAATATGACGCTTTGGGTTTGCCACTGGTGAAAACGTCTGCCTCTCCTTGAGTCAATGTTTCTAACTTATGAATACGCTTTTCGTGCCGACCGCATTCCAGGTACCCTGGCGATCCTTACGATCGATACTGGTATCCATCCGTCATTGAATCCAACGAAAATGAATATCCGCTAAGGTGTGCCAGTGCTATTATATGTACTTCAACGCCAGTTGGACTTCAAGCAAAAAGTGACACGAGAATTGGCACATCTTCGGTTCCAATTTATCTGAAAGGAACCCCACAAGACGTTTTGCGTAGTGGGATGACAACCAACGGGAACCTCACAATTGACTTGAACCCAAGCGAACCTTTCAAAGCATATATACAATATTACTTTGTGGAGCTCGACTTGACAACCAACAAAACGGATCGAATCTTCAACCTACTTGAACCTGGAGAAACTGAGCCTTCACTGCTAAATGTGGTAAATGAGACAGGAGCAACATTAAAGCTATATGGTGTTAATCTGACTGAAGCCAATATTAAACAACAGTCAAGAATTATCTTCTATCCCGATCCGTTCCGAACATCGATGAAAGGTCCCATACTGACCGCCATGGAGATCTACAAAATTTGCGACCCACTGGTTGCACCTACAAACGATCGGGACTGGGCTGCAATCGAGAGCATCAAGGTGGACATGAATTTGACAAGTTGGCGAGGCGACCCTTGTCTCCCAAAACCTCACCATTGGATCAATTGTAGTTCAGTGGACAAAACGGAAAATCCAGCCGTTCTTACAGTGTAAGATGTTTGCGTTTATCGTTTCCTCACGTTTGCACTTTACTCTGCAGGTTGATCCAATCATGCTGGAAAGTAGCCATTTCAATTCTGACCTGGTTCCAATTCTGAATCAACCTTCCCAGAGTACTATCAGCAGAAAACTTAACTGGAGCCATCTCACCCAGCTTCAACGACCTTCTAGACCTCACCACCTTGTAAGTGTACAAACGTCCTGAGCCCCCTCCTGTAGCCAGTTGAACACCCTTCCATGCCGATCAATTTCCCGCGCCATTCCATATGGCTGAGGTTGGGACGTCCTTTCCATGTGCAGGAAGTTGGATGGCAACTCTCTGACGGGGCAACTACCTGACTTGAGTGCCTTGACGAACTTGAAAACATTGTGAGTTCCTAACTATTTGGTGGTTCCAAAATACGAATCCAATTCACATTCCGCAGCAAATTGGCACTAACCTACGCGTTTGTGTCTATGTCCAGACATTTACAAGACAACGCACTGAGTGGACCGCTTCCAGAGTGGCTTGCTTTTCTACCAAAGCTTCGCGAGTTGTGAGCACTCTTGACCCACTCTTACCAAACCATAGTGTAATCAACATTTACCACAAACCCCGCTGATTATCACAGAGCTTTTGTCATCATTGTGGTCATGTCCCTTTCCGAGTTGCAGGATTGTGCAGAACAACAACTTCAGTGGCAAAATCCCCTCAGCGTTCTCGAGCAAGAATTGGAATTTCACGTAAGATACTGTCCCTTGTTCCAACATCATCTAGCAACTTACAGGCCCATAGCTGTGTGACGTCACAACAGCAACGTACATACTTCCTAACTCAAGCGCGTTTGTGCAACTCTTTGTTAGCTACTACGGAAATCCGCTCTTGAATGCGACACTGCCAGCATCGCCTTCAACCAATACTGCAGCCATTGTAGGTGGAGTGGCAGGAGGAGTGGCATTTGTGGCGATCGTGGTTGCTCTTGTGTACTACTTAGTTTGCCGTCGAAATCGTCGTCCTGCAAAAGATATGGACACCCTAATAGTTGGAAATTCGAATCCAAACATTGTAAGCAAGGAGATCAACATCAACCTAACTTCAAACATTCATGGAGGTCAGTTGTTAGCTTTATCTCACACCCTACACCCTAAAGCAGCGATGAATTGTACCGCGTGCAGCTGTTGGTCAACGACTCATTTACTCTCACGCAGCAATATAGCTGGAAGATGGAAGCAGGCACTTACAATCTATGACCACAGGTGCCCGAAAATTCTCTCCCGACGAGATCGTTGCTGCAACGGCCAACTACAAGAAGGTGATCGGGAGAGGAGGCTTCGGCCCCGTGTACTACGGCAGGTTGACGGATGGCAGAGAAGTTGCAGTGAAGGTCCTCGATAAAGAATCTCGCCAAGGGGAGACAGAGTTCCTCAACGAAGTCGACATTCTGTCCAGAGTCCACCACAAGCATCTTGTAAATCTTGTAGGATATTGCAGAGTACCAGGGATGCAGATGATGTTGATCTACGAGTATATCCACAGGGGCTCCCTGCGAGACCATCTCAGTGGTACAGTCACATCTGGTGAGCTTTGAACATCCTGTCTCGACTGGTTCAGGATAGGCCATGACCAGCGACGTTTTCCGATTCCTCCCATAAGCTTTGACCTACTCCACTTGCTTTCACGTACCTCGACGTTCGTGAACATTTTGAACGCTAACGGCTCATAGGTCTCGATTGACAACAGAGGGCTCTGCCAATTCTGGACCGGATGTGCTGGACTGGAAGACCCGACTTAACATTGCCCTCCATGCAGCATCAGGTATTGTGCCGGAATGCACTTGAAGCAATTTCCTTTGATGTGATATGCTGCACCAAAGTGGAGTGCACAGCTTGCGCATAATTCTCTGGTCCTCGTGGAATGATTGCAGGGTTGGAGTACCTACACAAAGGGTGCAGTCCGAGTTTGATACACCGTGATGTGAAGAGCAGCAACATCCTCATCACCACCAAATACGAAGGGAGACTGACAGACTTTGGGCTGTCAAGGCTCGTTGGTGATGAGGACATAACAAAGGTCGTCACGTTTGTCAAGGGCACAGCTGGGTACCTGGATCCAGAGTAAGCCATACATCTGCAATCGTACTTTTCAGGTTTCAGTTCTTGTTTCACTCCGTAGATGCCGTTGTGATTCGACAATGAGTGGAGGGCGACGCACCAGAAGTTGGATGTAGCAGTCTGTTGAGGAAGGCTTGAGTATGAAGGACTGAATTCATGCAATGCAACTGTCCAGGTACTTCTCCACAAATGTGCTCTCTGCCAAGAGCGACGTCTTTAGCTTCGGAGTGGTACTTCTGGAATTGATCACAGGACGTCTGCCCGTCGACCGGTCGAAGCCGACGGAATGGAACATCTGTGACTGGGTAATTTTATTCGCGAGCACCAAAGTTGACGCAGCAATGAGCAGCATCGTTTGTAGCATATGCAAGCGGAGTGTGACCTTTCTGGGGCAGAAACAATGCACTGGGGCAATTCTGAGGCATGTTGTTATGTTCAGGTTCGGGCGAGTCTGGCGCAAGGGAATATCGAGGCTATACTGGATCCTGCGGTGAGAGCGTCTCATCCGAATGTCGATGCGCTTTGGAAAGTTGCTGAGATTGCGTTGCAAAGCGTGGAGCCCAGAAGCAAACATAGGCCAACGATCAACGAAGTGGTGCTGGAGCTGACGGGTGCCATAGCTTTGGAAGGTTCTGCGAGTAACGACAGTAGTTATGGTAACTTCTCATCCTCTGCCGAAATCCACGGAACCCAATTCCTCCCCTGGGCCAGGTAGAGTGTGCACATTTTGGATTGTAATGTCCGTTGTGCAGAGTACAGTGTGTGGATTTCTTCGACCTTGGAATCGGTTGATGCTTGTAAGATGTTAAGGATGGGAGAAATTTTGTTAGGTACGTGCAACAGATTTGGTGTTTTGGTTTTTAATGCAGCTCAGATCATGCTTAGGGATTGTAGATGTAATAAGAAATTTTATGCACAAGTCATGATACCATTAATTACTTTGCATAGAATACAGCATGACTGACATCGTCCAAATTGAAGTAATCAGGGTCATTGGAACTGTATTGTATTACCAATGCTCTTGATTTGATGTAAATTGTGAGCAGTATTTTTTAAATACATATATTGTACAGTCTTTGATTGAATTGGGTTACCGATCATAAGCGTGGAGTTGAGGAAGGCCATGATGCTTCTGACTGTAGAAGTCACTTGTCATTAATTTTAGGGTTATTATTATTTTTGTTAAAATCTTAGTTTCTCCTTAGTTATGTGTCAGCTTGTTATAAAAAATTAACAAATATCCTCTACTATTCACTTTGATCAATAAAGAACATCATTAAGAACATTTTCATGCAATACTAAATTTGAAATTCTGAAATTTGATGTGATTTTTTATTGCTGTCTCTTGGTTCTTGGGCTTGGGTTTTTTCTGGTTCTCTTACAACTCCAACCCTGAAAATGACCAATGACAAAACGTCGATCTTAATAAGTAATCGATTGCAAGATACGATAATTTCAGAGGGAAAGAAACACATATGGAAGAGTTAATGCCGCACATTAAGATGTATTTAAATAACCCTGATGGCAGCACCATCCTCATTTGTCGGACATTGGAACCCTCAGAGGGCCCTTGACGAACGTTTAACCTATGGAGTCTTTTAAATATCTAAAGCGCCGAATGTCAAATGCTTGCAACTAATTATTGATCCTACACAACACTATATCTGGAAAGGCAGGGAATAATCATGACTTAATGGTTTACTCTTCTATATAAGTTTTATTTCCAAATTGAGAGATATCTGGAAAGGGAGGGATTGATCATGACTTAATGTGTTACTCATACCTCATCACCAGACACCTTAAAGCTCATGAGGCATAAAATCCTCTGTGGTCCGGTAGCTCTTGTTAGGAGAGTAGTAGCATAGGTTAGTGACGTGACTAGTGTACAAGCAGGCAAACCTCTCCACCTGATCCCACAAAAATAAGAACACAATTCGTAAGGTCAACTTATGAAAAAAAATACATTAAAACGATCATAACTAGCATTCTGCATTAAAAGAGATCGTTTGAATCTGTGTGTTTCTTCAAACATTAATCCACGGATGGAAATCGAGCAGATCTTTACAAGGAGAAGGGTGGGAGAAGCTCGATTATCCAGCTACATGAGGATGATAGACAGATATGGTAGAGAAATACATCAATGTTCGACAAACCTGATGAGCAAACCGAGAATTTTGATAGCCTGTCTTCATCAGCTGCCCCCATGTCTTATGAAACTGTGAACAAAGTGCGACATTGCAGTTAGATGGGAAATGTTTTACTTCCGTAGAATCGAGCGGAGGAACTTCAACTGGTACACTGGTTATGCATACCATGTGATGGCAGTCCCTTTGGGCCTGGCGGTGTTGTTCGCGTATGGCTTCATCCTCCTCCTATCCAACACTCCCAAAACGTTTAATCTACAAAGTCCCATAAGCACTACTAAAATACCGCAAACATCTTTAACCATTCGAAATTCAAATTCTCGAAAAGTCGACCTCATATTCCTTGTTGGAAAGAAATGTTGGGAGCAGGCTTTAAAGGACTGCTTACTCGCAACTGGGCCACCTCCTGCTCTAGCTTTTGCCGCTCCTCATCCGCGTGTTCTTCAAATCTGCACATCTCCATAGAGCTTACATTAAATAAGAAATGAATCATTTGTTCGGAACCATCTCTACGCTGCTGTTGTGCTTCACATGCAGGATGAGGAAACAAAAGAAAAAAAAAAAGAACCTTGGTAGACCAACAAGGTCCTTGCATTGAGTTTTCAGGACTTTCCGAGTGTGACAAATGTACCGAGGCTACGAATGTCAGCCGCATATACAACCGTCGGAACATACCTGAGACACCATTCCAAACGTTGAAGACTATCTTCTATTTCATCACGTTGATTGCGCAACTCGGAAATCCCCTGCAGTCACAGTAATAGAGGCATTTCCGTGTGTTGATTAGATGTTAATCAGGATACGCTATTAACCGCTTTCTCATTAACAACGCATAAACCAGTTCACCACTCAAGAATGAATGAGATACTGACAGCCCAGGAGTATATTCAAGTATTAAGGCTAGTGAAAACATCCCTGCTGACGACCACAGAACAGGTGCTTGTAAGAGCAAAAACCAACCCACGAAAGGAATATACTAGATATTGTTACCCTATCAAATATACATCCCGATCCCTCTTATAGTGTGACTGCAATATCACTTTAGCCGTCGTAAGCTCTTTTTCGCAGGTTCGAAGCTCAATGGTTAATGTCCCAATGAAGGTTAATAATACTATCAGTTAGAGATAAACACTAAACAAGGAGAAGCATATACAAGTGAAACTTGAGCTCGCAAGTTTGATGTAACTTGGTCCAGCTTTACCTTCCGAGTTCTAATGGTTTGATGGAGTAAATCCAGCTCGACCGCTAATTCTGGCACTACAAGCATTGTCCTCCATCCTGCAAACACGATTTCATATGAGGTTAGAAGGTCAAACATTTAAATTAATGCAACAAGAATGTGCCGTGAACGGTTGCGAATTAACAAGAGTAGTGCGCGGTAAGGAAGAGCATCCATGTGCCTACAAGCATCCAAACTACAAAGCTAACCTGAATGTAATAAGCATGTTATTATACAAAATGGTTGTCTCAATCAAATAAGAACGTTACCTAACTCTTTCTTGCTTCGTAGAATATCCCCATAAATATGATCACCTACATATAAAACCTGAACCAATTCTTTTAGCGTCAAAATAGAATCCATGTCTGGTCAGCTTCAAAAAGCGTAGATTCGGAAGTGTTAATTGCGACAGTACCCAATCACTTCAAAATTCTAAGAAACTGCTCCCTCAACGATCATTTACACACCTTATATGCTTCGAGCAATGTATGACAATTCCATCCACAGAACAAACGAAATTAATACGATTAAAAGAAACTAAAATTGAAGCGCAAATACAACGTGATTACATGTGCAATGTCCCATCAGTACATGAAAAGAGAAAATTATTTCATACTATTATAAAACATTGAAGGACAAGTAAAAAGCACCTGAGAACCAGCCTCGATGGACAACAGCTTGTGCAGGTGAGCAACACAACCCCCCTGCTCCAAGTTTCATAAAAAATATCATCAAACATATTACAGAATTAGAGAGCGAAAAAAATTTCAAGTCCCTAATTGAGATCTGAGAACAACAGCCAAGTTAAGTAACTTTCAAAGATTTAAAGTAAACTAGTAGCTTGCCTGAAACACTCGACAGGCTTGTTTCACATTTGGATTTGGCAACACAGTAGCTTGAAGACCAACTCCACCAATCTGCAAATTGAGAGAAAAGTAAAAGGTAAAATTACATCAATGTTCCAAGGTTTAAATCGCTTCACTATAACTAACCGACCAATGAACATACTTATAATGGTAAAAACACACTAATATATATAAATAGAAATCACCTGGGCCATGGGTGTGCCAGAGTCGGTATTTTGTAGCATGCCTGTTACAATGTCTACCTCAAAAAGAGAGGCTCTACTCCCATCCATGAAAAACGAGGGTTTCGCACTATGTCCACAACAACAGCCATTTCAAAACGCGGGCGGTGGTAGAAAAATATAAGAAAAGTTCAAATGAAAGCTTCCAAAGTTTATAGATTCAAACTCCATTGTGAACTAGAATTAGTGGAGAGAAGAAAACTGACCTTCCAGTAATGACAACATCGAAGTAGGAGAGCCATTCGTCATCTCGAGGGATACCACCATCGGTGCCACACTTTCCACACAAGTAATTCATGACAACATGCGTGTAATCCCATAAACTACAGAAAAAACGTCAAAACAATCAGTTTCGAAGTTCGTGCTGCTAAAACATTAGACAGTCATCAGCCGACAGTACTTATCACAAGTATCCTATGCTTCATCTTCATCTATTTTCGAGTGCGGCTGCAATTTACTAGTTCGAACAACAAGAAACCCACCTGTTTGTTACAAGAAATGTCTTACGTCCAGATTGCTTGAGCATTTTCAGCATTGGAACTATCAGGGGATCCTCGTTAATGTACCTGAAGTCAAGAAGTGTCAAGCACTCACCTTACGTAAGTCTAGACTTCTACAAAATTCTACCTGAAACAATTCTCTTTAAAAGAGTACATAAAGTTAACGGCAATCGCTTGAGATCAGTGAACTTCATATCTTCGTAAGATACTCAATTTCATATTTAATGAAATAGACTATTACTTGCTGGGTTCGTTTGCGACAGCCTGTTTTATTGTACCGTCCCGATGACAAAGGTCTACAGCCGCCCTCACGTCCTTATACAGCTGTGAGTAACTGCCAAATGATTAAATCAGGATTAGTAAGAACGATGAAATCAAACACAGCAAGACGAGCCCAAACTCAGCAAGTGGTCATATAGCTGTTATTTGCATGTTCAAGTTCAGTAGCAAATGTTAAAGTCACGTACTCGTTGACAACGGCGGGGATTCTGTCTGGAAAAGCGTCTCTGAAGTCCACAAGCTGCATGAACAAATAAGCCTCGGCTAGCGAAAAAAGTGTGTCGATTAATGCGTAATCCGGTTCATCATACGATTCACGTGACAAGGTGTTGCCGTACATGGCTTGCCGATCCTCCCGGCTCAATTCCCGAAATCCGTGATAAGCCACCTTTACATACTTGTGACGATCCATCTGCCAGCACGTGATACACCATCCACGTCGGAAATGTCACACCATGAACATTCTTGTTACAAAGCCCAATCTTCGTCATCTTTCAATATAATTCAAAACCACAAACTGATATGACGGCGTCAACGCCTGGTCATCCAATTCTCATCAATAAAAAAATAAAAAAGTAATTGCGTTGTAAAAGGTAATGTCTGGGTCGAGCGCCTTTAACAAAGTCTTCATCTCGCGATGGAATCTGAATTTACATGCATGCAAGAGCCCTTCAATAACCAGACAGTGGACTCCTTTCAGAAATGGAGGCAACTAGTCAGAGAGTCGGTCTCAAAAATCAAACTCTGCTTCCTAAACAGAATCCAGAACATCGTAACTTTTGAATAAAACACCTTAAAATTTTCGAGCGCAACCGCGTTCTCACCTTGAGAATGCAACCACGTCTTTTATCGAGCACCAGACCCCTAACCATAAATCTCCAGTCAAACCTCCATTCTAACAGCTGCACAGAAAAGAGTCTTTAAGTTCAACTACACCGATCAAAATTGTCTTGTTGATGCAGTAGATTAAAGATGATTGCTGCGTATCTCGATTTACCGCTGTCATGAGTTGCTTTAATTGATTTATGAGCAAAAGTTATTCATATCAGTTGTATTGCTGCAAATTTGGTGTACCGTGATCCTGGACTCTCCCCCATTTTCGGGCAAGAAACACCCGAAACTAACTAGAATTGCGCTTGAATTGCCTAAACAAGGAGCTGAACACCAGGAGTTCATGAAGACAAGTCTGAGGGAAAAGAAACCCACTTCTGGGGGGTAACTCAAATTGTTCACCAACTTTTGAATTGTTCCAGCATACGCCAAACTTTCGAAAGTGTCTGCCTTGTATTGCGCTAGAGTATAGTCCATGTCGAATCCGATAGCCACAATGCTTTTCATGTTGAGAGACCGATTGCAAAATATGTTCTTCCGCGTGTCAAGAGGTCTAGCCCACCAGCGACCGCTCCACAAAACATCTCCATCTTCTCCAGCAACTACCCCATTGCTGGTAGTATATTGGTCCACTTGCGATGCAAGCAGTGGCCATTTGATCTGGCTCTTGACGTTCCCGTTATCACCTGCGAAATATCTCTCCAACATATCAGTATACGAGTTGTCGATGTTCTAATTGAGAGACTTCAACATGAACCGCTGTAAGACTTTTGAAAAGGCTTGAGAATGGAATAATTATCGATGACCAGCTTGAACGGTTGAGGCCAAAGGAAAGGGCCTTATGCTAGCATCTAATTACACATAAGAACTGAACGACAAAACGCAAGACCATTTGTCAAGAGCGTGCAAGTTAAGCACATGTAATTCCTGATGCCTACAGGGCGATAGAGAAACTATGCTCGACTAAACCTGACACAAGCATTTATGTACGATGTGTACGATAGGGTGTTGAATCATGATACTTGGTACTCGATGTTAGTTGGCATGATCGGATTGAATTAGAGACCTTGACAGGGACGATCGTATTGTACCTAGAGTAAATTTATGGTTTAAGTAAATTAAGAAGCGCCTGTGGGGTCAGATTTGATTACCAGACAATCTCAACAAGCACGCCAAACACTTCCATAGACGGCGGAGTCATCTTCTCAAACCGTAATTCTACAAGGGCATCTCAAGATTACTTTCATCTTCAAAACCAGTTCAAAGGTAGCACAAATACCAAAACTTGTCCTAGTTAAAATAGTTTTCTGGAAAAATGTGACATTTCAACTAGAATCCCCGGAACACAAAGAATTATGAAATATAAAAACCTACCAGCAATATTGTCAGCGCGTCCACCAAATTTCGCAACAGCAGCACAATACGTCTCTCTTGTTGAGCAGGCACCAGCGCTGAAATTCCATGTTCCCGCCATGCATCCCCTCCCGCAAATCATCGGAGTCTGCCTCAAACCATCCCATGCCCGCCTCCGAGGCCGACGGAAAGTTGGCGGAGTGGGGGAAGTCATCGGCCGTATGATGCAAGTCGCACTTGCGATTCCCAACAACGGCAGCCTCTGCAATTGATGTCCTGCCGACATGGAAGCTGCAGCAGAAAAACAAGTTGATTCCATTGTAGTCCTCACGCAATCCTCCAGATTCAAGGCCACAGAAACCCACAAACTCTCAATCTGCATCAATCCACCATCCTAATCTACCCACCCTTCATCCCCTCAACCTACACCACTACCACGAGATTCTGCTGCCAAATGAAGCCCCCTGTGATGAAGCAACGGGCCTGCACTGTCAACAGTCGACTGAAATCCATCTGCAACAATCTCATCGAGGCAAAATTGCAGCTGGAACCATCATCGAATTGAATTCGAGGGGAGATTCACACACGCAACTATATTCAAAACCAAAACAGAATCCCAAAAAGCGACACCGGACCTTGGAAAAAACTGTAACACAAAGACAAAGCCAAAACCCTTAAAAAATCCAGCAAGAATTTTGTAGTTACCACATACCCATTGATAATGTGCGCTCACATTGGTAAAGCGGATTTGGAAATTCTAGCGCCATGCTTGCTCCGCCACCAATCTCCACAGCACCCAAAGCTCAAGCGCCTTCCCGACCTCGAGCCACCGCTACATTCATTCGTAGGTCATCCATGAGAATTATTCATTCATCGATAGTGGCCACAACCCTTGTCCACCCACGTGGACTTTCATTTTGGATGAATGAAAACGGCTCCGCTTTGAACGAGCCTGATTTGTTTTCATTCGTTCACGCGAAAGGGATGATGGTCACTTCTCACCCCTTGAGCGAAGAGCCTCTTCACTCACAATTTTTAGCTCTCTCAAATAGTTCCCAAAAATCATGAATAATATATAATTATTTTAATAATAAATTATCTCGATAATTATTTCATTTTCATGATTTAATAAAAAAATGAGTAATGTATATATGATACTAGTTTTGTTTCAACATTAAAACAAATGGATTTTCTATATTTTTTTATTCTCATGCTTTAACTAATTTAATTTAATAAATTTTTCGAACGAAATTCTGTGTAGATTCAACCTCAAATTTTGAATACTAGACATATACAAAATGAAACCTTCATTAATTTCTATTCAATTCTGTAATATGCAAGACCACTTTTAAAACCAACATGATTTTATGTTTTGTTAATTTCAAAATTTATTATCTTTCTTAAAAAAACTCATAGGTTGAAAATAAAATTTAACATTCATGGCTAAGATGCATATATTTAACAATGTTCCTACTTCTGTTTCTCTTTCCTTATTCTTTTGTGACATAGTGCTTGGCTAAATACTTTAAAACATAATCTGTAATTATTATCTTTTTGTAATGAGCAGGAATTAAATATCTCTAATTACAAAATTCTCTATAAATAGATAGTAAAAAGTAACAAATCAATTTAAAATGTATATATATATAAATAAATAAATATATATACATAAATATATATATTTTTTGTTAATATATACAAATATATATATATATATATATATATGTATTTATATATATAAATATTTATATATGATTCTCTCAATAAATATATATATATTTTATATAAATATAAAATATTTAATATATATATATGATTCTCTCTGTTCAAGTTCCAAAAATCTACCATTGAACATTGATTCAAAAGACAAAAACTCTCAAACTAATTCTTATAAATAATGAGTTACATTGTGTAATAGCAACATATATATATATATATATATATATATATATATTAAATATTTTTTGAAATAAAATTTAAATAAATCAACAAAGAATTTTAAATATCTAAAATTTACTTTCGAAATATAGATTTATCAAAAAAATGTGCTGTAGAGGTAAACATATATAAATACTTGATGTAAATGTATTTTATCTTGTAAATGAATACATGAAATTTTCACAATGAATTCACAAATTAAGAATTTAGGATGAAAGTAAAAGATAATTAATCATTTCTATTTTTAAAAAAACTGATATATTTTTTAAGAAAAATTTACATTGGACAAAATAAAAGTTTGATTAAATATAATTCTCTCTTATAAGAAGATAAGTTTTAAAAAAAATTATTTCTACTTAAAACAAAAAAAGCTCTATTTTTTAAAAAAAAATTAAACATTCCGTACATATTTATTCTTTTAATCTTTTAACTATATTCTGAAATTTGTTCACTTAGAAATTTAATGATTTATATTGATATTGTAGGCAAAAAATAAATTTACAAAAATTTACAACACAAATCTTAACATTTTTTCAGAGAAATAATTTTTCTTTTAAAGACTGATTTTTTAAAATGAAATATATTACTGAAAATAATAGAAAATAAATTAAAATAAAAATCTATGTTTTTTTTACATATTATATGAACATATCTTTTTGAAGACCAATACTGTAACAGTTTATTTTTATTTGTTGTATGAGTCATTTCTTAGATAATTAATGATGTACTATGGATGAACTTATTAAACAAGAAATACAAATGAGAACTAATTAAAATGTTATCTTAGTTGATATTTGAAAACTATAATATTTGAAAGGATAATATAGTCGATACTTCTAAATGAACAACCAATGTTTTTACAAATCAAAAAATAATTAGTACATAATCCCAAAACATGAAAAAATAGGTTCTAATTTGACCAACTTCTTTTTTTCATAAATGACAAACAAGTATACAGAAAACATGGACAACTTTAGACCCCCACTTCATGAAAACCAATCAACAAATAAACCTTTGGTTATGCCATGGAATACAAATTACAAAATTTATGTAAATAAATAAAAACACGTTGGATTCTAGAATTTGTCTTTTGCTGGGAAACCTCGATTCGCAGGGACGACGACACGATGACGACGGAGATGAGAATTGGGAGAGGGAGGGATGCTTTTTACAGGAGGATCTCAGCTCTGAATTGCAGTTCACGGCGCAGCAGGATCAGCAAGAGCAGGAGCAGACCAGATCGTGGCCTGCCAACTTGGGTAACTTGGGCAGGAGAGGATTCGACGAAGACTCGAAGGGTGCGGCGGATGCGCGTCGAGTGGGGTGCACACCGTGGATTAATGGGGAACGGCACGGGGGGCATCGCAGTGTGGGTAACACGGGATCGGAGTAGTTGGGGCTGGGCGCAGTAGTAGGTAGGGAGAGCAGTCTCAGGGGCGTCCGAGCATGGAGATTCGGGACCATCGCGTCATGTGGGGTTGGCAGGGAAACGAATGATGCCGTTGAAGCTACCCGCTAGCTGCTTCTGGAATCAGCACACTGCTTCGAGACGACCTCGCTGTAGTCTGTAGCCGCGGCTGCTTTTCCTTCCTGGATTTGGCAAATGCCCTTTCACCTACTGCAACGCGCGACAGCCAATTGGAAAACAATGTGATTTTCTGGGAAGGCCGGCCGGTGGTGGAGGCCGTGAGTACTTAAGTGCCCAGCGATGGTGCTCTAATGTATCGTTTAGTTTTGGTCGGATGTTGCGGTGGGGTGTGTAGGAGGAGGTGGCCTTGGGGGTTGACGAGGGAGCGATTGGACCACCTTGCAGTTTCATGGCACACTCTCTCCATTTCTCTACCGTTCATGCAGCGGTTGATCGATTGGGTTGCTGGTTGATTGATCGATCGATGGTCAGGAGTTGGAAGAGAATTGGAGAGAGTGCATTGTGAATTGCGGGGTTGACGAGGCGGAGGGGTTCTGGAGTTAGTCGCAGTTTTCACCCACCTGCTTTGAGTTGTTTAAGTGCAGATCACGACCAAGCGATACGCTCTCTATGTGTTTCTACGTGTGCCTTTCATGCGGATTTGCATCGGTCATGAGTCTATTCGAGAGAGAACTAGAACGAGTGCGTTGCTAATTTCAATTCTCAAGAGTTCGCCGACGTTGCATTTCATCAGTCTGAGTGGTAGCGAAGCGGGAGTCTCAGGTATAAGAGCAGAGGATATAGTCTTCGTAGCATTTTGGGTGTTTACACAGCACAGGAGGAGACACGATTTGTGCTGTGGAAGCCTGGAATGCATGAAAGCAAGATGTTTCGACATGCGGAGAAATTCCAAGATAAAACTGCTGGCGGAGATCTGGAGTCAGTGTGTACCCAATCGTGTCGAGTTGATCGAATGCAGGTTACAGGTTCATGACACGCTCAGTACGTTTCTCCACACATGACTGACACGCGGGTTTCATTTGTCATGGATCTTGTCGAAACAGAAATGGGGCGAGCGGATCGCGACCTTCAATCTTCTTTCTCTTCGATGCCATCTCATCTGTCTGAACGGTGACACAGCTGCAGACGTCTTTCAGGTATAATACTGTCAAATATGACGTAGTCAAAGAAGGTTTGGTGGTCATATAGTTTAATAGAACATGGCTTGTGCTGTGGAAGCACCTAACGCATCAAACCATGATGTATCCATATCTTGAGATGTATTACGGTGGGTCGTGGGTCTAGGGGAAGAATTAACGAATGAATTTATTTCCCCATTCAAAGGTTGCTGGTTCTTCGTTCTGCCAATTGCATTATTGTATAAGTAGATCGTCCTCAAATACGAGAACCTCTCTGTTTACCGTGTTTAAATCTGTTGCGTCATTAAAGATTACCTGTTACTGAACCAGGTCTAACCACGCTTTCGTTCCATGACCAATTAAACTGAGCTCAATGAGGTGAAAGTCACGAAATAGTTTATCAACTCTTTTTCCTAGTTTATGACTCAGTTTAAAAACTTGTGAACCAGCCCATCTTTAAAAACTATTGCCCTAAAGAAAGAAAACACAAACAAATCAATCAATGTATGAGAAAATACACCTTGTTAAAGATATTTATTTCATTTCATACACATAGTATGAATCAATTCTTTTGTAAATTTCATCAAACCCTTAATTTAACCATTCGAGAAACACTAATTGAAACGAAGTCTCTATTGCTAACTATCAGTTACTTCAACACCATGAATAAGAGTAGTGAACCGCAAACACTAATGATCAGTTTCAGAGTGTTAAAAATACGAGACATATATATACCAGGATTGCATAACACCGACGGCATCAATTCACAAGCTGCAGATCAAAATGACTATATTTGAACACGCTCTAGCCATTGCTGAGGCTTTTGCAGTTCTGAATCAATGATAAGAATAGGAACTAAAGTGGTTCAAAGTGAAGCCTCGTGTACTTTCTTGGCTCACGCAATACCGTTATGCTGGGAGTTGCTGGTCCGTTGTCCAGGTTAAGATATCTCGTGAAATACTTTCAAGATATCGACGGGAATCTTCAGACAGAGGAACCTCATGCTTCCATCAGAAAGACAAAAAGACTCAGCAACGCTTTTGCAATGAACACATCAGGGTAAGCCAGAGATGCCGTTGACTGTTCAAACATGACCACTATCTGCAAGAGTGTACTGGAACTCATCTTGTACCTGCAAAGTTAATCTCAAGATACGGTTTGCTGGAAAGTAGTCAAACAAAACAATAATGTCACGTTTCAGTCAAAGAACTCATCATCCGT